TCTCTTCTCTGTACTCCAAGGGCATAGGATTTCCACATGCCCTTAGAAGAGACCTTGGAAGATATTTTCATCCTTCCTACTGGTAAAATGGCATCAAGGGTCCCCACCGGTTCAAGATGGGGACCTTGCCTATATGGTGATGAGGACAGGGACACCCTGGCAGTAGCAGGTAGCCTTTGCCCATCTCTGCAGCAGGCTGGTGTTTGGGATCCAGAAGGCACGGAAAGTCAGCACTCTGGAAGACCTGGTTGGGGTCACTCTCAGCCAGGTTCAGATCATGGGAAGCTGGATATGTGAAATGGCAGGTGCTGGTGAACTTATACTTGTCCTCCTTTGTGGCCTCATGGTCCTGTGATGGGAAGAAGCCGGGGAGCCCTAGGTCTCTGGCAGTCATGTGGGGTCTTTTGAAGGCAGGATATCCATCCGTTAGCTTGGGGTTAGGGTTGGGGATGGGCCTATAAAACTCTTTGTCCCGGAGTTGAGCGTCGAGCTTTGCCTGCTGTGGAAACAAATCACACGTGAGTGGAGGGGTGACAGAGACGAGAGACAGTGTAGCTTTTCTTGGAAGCATCTAAGACAGAGCCCATCCTTCTTTTTTTAGTTTTTAAAAAACTTTAAATTAGTCCTTGAATGGTAATATATACAACAGAGAAAATACTGAAATTACGTGAAAGAGTTTATAGTAAAAAATTAGTCTTTTCCACTCTCCTCCTCCCTCAGTTTCCATCTCCAGAGACAACCACTGCTATCAGTGCTTTTTGTATCTTTCTAGAAATATTTTATATGCATATCAACATGTATGTGCATATCTTCTTCCCTTGGTTTGTACACAAGTAATGAATATTCCATTCCACACTTTGCTTCCATTAAATAACATCTTAGAAATTGATCCATCTTTATTTGTTTAGATCTTTTTTTTAGTAGGGAAATCGCAGGACAGGAAAAGATTTTTAAGCAATCTTAAAAAGAGAAAATGATAAAGGAAAAAAAATGATAAATCTAACTATATTAAAAATAAGAAATTGAGACCAGGTGCAGTGGCTCACACCTGTAATCCCACCAGTTTGGGAGGCCAAGGCAGGCAGATCACCTGAGGTCGGGAGTTGAAGACCAGCCTGACCAACGTGGAGACACCTCGTCTCTACTAAAAATACAAAATTAGCCAGGCGTGGTGGCGGGTGCCTGTAATGCCAGCTACTCAGGAGACTGAGGCAGGAGAATTGCTTGAACCAAGGAGGCAGAGGTTTCAAATCCTTGAACCAAGGATTGCGCCACTGCACTTCAGCCTAAAAAACAAGAGCAAAACTCTGTCTCAAATTAAAAAAAGATAAACAAACAAAAAAAGAATTCACACTCCCTGAAAAATTTAGTGCAAAGACAAACCACAAACTGGAGAAGAGTTTATCCACATATAACATACATAACTGAGAAATGAAAAATGCTTAGGGCCAGGCATGGTGGCCCACACCTGTAATCCCAGCACGTTGGGAGGCTGAGGCAGGTGGATCACTTGAGGTCAGGAGTTCTAGACCAGCCTTGCCAACGAGGGGAAACCTCATTTGTACTAAAAATACGAAATTTGGCTGGGTGTGGTGGTGCATGCCTGCAATCCCAGCTACTTGGGAGGCTGAGGCAGGACAATCGCTTGAACCTGGGAGGCAGAAGTTGCAGTAAGCTGAGATGGCACCACTGCACTCCAGCCTGGGTAACAGAGCCAGATTCTGTTGCAAAAAAAAAAAAAGAAAAATGCTTAGAATCTTTTTAAAAACTCCTGCAAATTAATAATAATAATAAAAGACAAGCAACCCAGTAGAAAAATGAGCAAAATACATGAACAGACATTTTATAGAACAAATCTCCATCAATAAATGAAAAGGTGTCCAACCTCATTAATAGTAAGTGAAAAGAAAATTATGACCATAGGAAAATATGATATTGCACCCACCAAATTGGCAAAAATTAAAATGTCTGCTAATACCAAGCAATGGCAAGATTGCAGAGCAACAAAAGTAACCATCTCCAGCTAGCCATAATGTAAATTGGTGCAACCACTTTGGAAAACAGTGATTTTACCTAATACTCAATGACAAACAATTCCACTCCTGGAATGGAGAAACTCTTGAACATTAGGATGTGTCTCATCTCATTTTCAGTGCAGCATTTGGGAGTGGGAAGAGGAGGAATAAAGCATGCAAATGTCCACCAATAAGAAGAGACAGATACAGAAAAGACAAATACAGTATGCTGCGGCATATTCATGCAATGTAACACTATGCAGGAGAAAATGAATAATATGCCATAATGTTTGGCAAAAAGTGACAAATAAAGTTCAAAAAGGCAAAACCAAACAATTTGTTTGAAGGGATATATACATACAAGGTCAAATGAGTTTTTAGAAAAGCACACAGGGAATTTTGTTTTGTTTTGCTTTTGGAAACAGAGTCTTGCTCCACCTCCCGGGTTCAAGTGATTCTTATGTCTCAGCCTCCCAAGCAGCTGAGAATACAAGTGTGCACCAACATACCAGGCTAATTTTTGTATTTTTGTAGAGACGGAATTTTGCCATGTCAGCCAGGCTGGTCTTGAACTCCTGGCCTCCCAAAATGCTAGTATTACAGGCCACCACACCTGGCCTACAAGGGAATGATTAACCACTTCTGGAGATGGGAGGAGGGGTAAGTTTGTGGGCCACCCAAGAGGCTCTAAGGTACTGCTAATGTTGACGTGCCAGGTTTTAAGCTGTCTGTAATGGTTTCATCGGTGTTTGTTTTATCAGTGTTATTTAACCTTTAAATGTGTATTATTTACAATGTTTTGTATGCATGACATATTTGATGTACATTTGAAAACATCCACACACATACATGCACATGCACATAAAAGACCTCTAAGTCACATCTCCTGGCATTGAATATTGTTCTAACAAGTGCCCAAATGTCCACATTTGTAATACAAATGAAGCAATAGAGAGGATTTCAGTGGACAGTTGATTGAATGAAAGGACTTGCATGGCTTCCTACCTCTTGCAGTGTGACCCTGGAGTATTTGTGCTTCCCATAGGGCTGATAGTCGACCATGTGGGAGCTTTGGTATATGTCTAAATCCACAGAGTCCTAAAGCACAAGGAGAATAAAGACAAGAGAATCCCTCTTTGCACTCCTCTTAAAGCCATTCATGGCTTCTTGCTGTTTGTAAGACAAAGACCAACTTTGGGGCCTGACATTCAGAGCCCAGAGGATCTGGTTGTGAACCACTCTGACCATCCCATCATCTCCCCGCCCTCTCTACTCCAGCCTCACTTTCTCCCACTCTCATGGGTTGGCATGTGTTCTTTCCTATCTCCTAATGAAAATGCAAGTTGCCTATCACAGACTAACAAACTCCTACCTATCCTCCAAGACCCAGACTAAATGTCACTTCCCCAAAACATCTCTCCCATTCTTTTATTCTCTACCTCCCAAGAGTTAAGTCTTTTCCTGTTCCTTACAACCCTGCACAACAGCACTTACAGAGTATCCTGTGATGGATATGATGAAGTTCACTATATCAGGTTTAGCGTCCTTAGACATCTCTGCAGTCCCAAAGCCCAGCACAGTGGCTGGTACACTGTGAGTGCCTAATAAGTGCATGCTGAGTAGTAACTTAACCCCCAGAAAATTATAAAGAAGAGAACTGAGTTCTCTTCTTCTTGTACAAAAACAAACAAAAAACACCAAAAACAAAAGAAAAAAAAATCCCAAAACTATCATTCCACAAAGATGAGCACAGGGAGCCACAAGAAGCCTGGCCCTTCCAGGGACTTGCTGAGGCTACCAACACTGAGACAGTCACAGGGGACAGAAACCACATCACTTACCTGTCCTGGGTATATCACACGTGCCATGGCAAAAGACCTAGACACAGACAAGTTGTTTAGCCCTGCTCTGCCACAGACAAGGGAAGTAGCCACTATCTTCAAGCTGTGCCAACCAAGCATGGCTGTCCCAGCTTTCTTAGCCCACTCCTCCCCACCTTCCCTGGGCTCCCACTCTGCATGTCACACTCCATCATCAAGGGGTTCATGGTGATACCAGGGTCCCTGGGACAAAGGAACTGGAGCAGGACTCAGGAGGAATGAGGGCTGTTTAAAAGATCACATTTACAGATCAGGTTTACTGTTTGAGAGGGAAATCTGATCTTAGGGCAAGTGATGTTCTGGAAAATGCTTGACAACCGTGTTTCTGGGGAAAATAGGCCCTGGGTTTATAGCATCTGCCAATTTCTATGGTGTGAAGGCTCCTATCATGGCTCACTTCAGGCCATCAATATAATGTCATTGGCACTGAGTTGCACAGATATGAGCAGGATGGGCTCTTGTGAGCCAATATGAACTGGCTCTAGCTCACAGGTTCCTGTGAACCAGGCTTCAGTACTCCTCCTGGATGGAGGAAGGCCCAGGCCTGGGACTCAGAGCCACCTTGATTCAGGAGGGGAGTATCCAAGGTGAAGAAAGTTGAAAGGCTCTGCATTCCCAGTTGAACAACAGTTTATAGGCCTAACCCTGACCCTTCCTTCTAGCCCTGAAGTCCTAGGGATACCTCACTGCCCAGACCCCTTGTGTACATGGGCCCCTAGAGCTTTGATGGGTACTCCAATGCATTCCCTGGGAACCCTCCCCTAAGCCCCACTCCCTCAGCAGACTGTGGCCCAGCAGGGTGGTGCCTGGACCTCAACCAACTTCTGTGTCCCCTCCCTTTTGCTCACAGACAGCTTCTCTCCTAGGACTGGGGACCAGCTGCTACGCAGACAGAGCCTACCCCTTCTGCCAGGGCAAGATGGCGCTCCTGCCGTCCCACCTCCAGGTGCCCTTGCCACATGGAGAGTCCTGCTGCTGCATCCCACTGCCACGCCTATCTTTGAGTTGAGCCCTGACCTGTGTGATGACGGTCCCTATCATTGTGAGGTGGGTGGCTGCTCAGGCTGCCTGCAGGTCAGTTCCCCTGTCCCTGGCTCACCAGAGCCAACAGGAATCCTGGCAGCACTGGAAGGTCTTGGGGACCAGAGCTTTCTGATACTCTACAGAATCTTTCTATTCCTAGGAGAGGACGGTAAATAGAGCCCATGTGGTTTATAACATCAGACTGTGTGTGACTGAATCTACCTCATACCATAGCTTGCCCCCACAGACCTCTGCTGCCTGAAACCCTGGCTCAAAATTGTCAAAATGTCATACTTTTTGACATTCATGGTGTGTGGCTTTGTAGAGAAACAAGTGTTGGTGAGGATGTGGAGAAATTAAAACCATATCGTTTTGCAATTCTACTTGTCGTTATAAGTCAAAAAGAATCAGAAGCAGGGACTCAAATGGAACCAATGTTCACAATGAGTCACAATAGCCAAAAGGTAGAAACAACTCAAATGTCCATCAGAGATGAATGGATGTGGTATACATGTGCAATGGAATATTATTCAGTCTTAAAAGGGAGGCCTGGAGTGTGGCTCATGCCTGTAATCCCAGCACTTTGGGAAGCCGACGTGACCTTGTGAGGTCAGGAGTTCCAGACCAGCCTGGCTAACATGGTGAAACCCTGACTCTACTAAAAATACAAAAATTACCCGGGCATGGTGGTGCACGCCTGTAGTCCCAGCTACTTGGGAGGCTGAAGCAGGAGAATCACTTCAACCGAGGAGGTGGAGGTTGCAATGAGCCAAGATCACACCACTGCACTCCAGCCTGTGTGACAGAGCAAGACTCCATCTCAAAAAAAATAAAAATAAAGGAAGGCAATATTGACACATGCTACAGCATAAATAAACCTTGATACATACAGCATAGATAAAAAGACAAATGCGGGATGATGCCACTTGTGTGAGGTACTTAGGGAAGTACAATTTATCGAGATAGAAAGTAGAATAATGGTTGCCAGAGACTGAGGAGAGGAACGGGAAGTTATTGTTTAATGGGTATGAAGTTTCTGTTTCAGAAGATTAAAAAAAGTTCTGGGGATGGATGGTGGTGATGGTTGCGCATTGTGAATGTACTTAATGCCACTGAATTATGCACATAAAAGTGATTATAACGATAAACTTTGTTATATATATGTAATTTCATATCTACTTATATATATTTTATATTTTATGTAATTTTTTTCTTTTTTGTATTTTTCTTTTTGTCAGTACCAACTTGCTATTTTATGTAATTTGTATATACATATGTATACTTAATTTTATATATGCTATATATAATATTAAACATTTTATATGTTATATGTTATATTATATATATAATTTTAATAATCCACCTTCTTTAATGGACACCTTCTCCATGAAGCTTTCCTTGACCTCACTAGGTATCACCATAGACTCATCTATCCAACCAATATTTACTGAGCACTTAGTTTGTGTTTGGGCATGCTTCTGAACTTTATAGATTCAAGAGTGACCAAAATAGATGGAAGTCTCTGCTTACATTCTGGTGATATGAAAACACAGAGCAAACACAATAATAAGCAAGTCACCCTCCATTAGATAGAGCAAATAAGCCCAGTGATACACAAGAGAATGACTAGTGGGCTTTTAGATGGGAGGTCCAAGAAGGTCTCTCTGAGAGAGCGATGTTACAGTAGAGATCCGAAGCACGGGAACGAACCAGCCATGCAAAGACCCTGAGGATAAAGGGTTCCAGACACAGCAATCAGCTAGTGCAAAGCCTAAAGGCAGTAACCACTAAGAACAAGAACCAGCCATGTCCCTAGAAAGGACTGAATGATGGCCAAAATCAAGCCATTGAGTCGGCTAGGAATCTCCAGCATTCTTCTTCTTTCTTTAATGGAGTGCCAACTTCCCCTCAGAGAACAATTGCTTGCCTTTCTTTGGTTTGAGTGTGACCACAGAATTCACATGTTGGAAATTTGGTCCCTAGCATGGCACTGTTGGGACTTTAAGATTTGATTAGGTGGTTAAGAGGCATTAATGCTGCTCTCTTGAGACTGCATTAATTCTCACCATAGTGAGTGAGTTATTGCTCTCTCGGGACTGGATTAGTTACCCCAAGAGCTAGTTGTTATAAAGTAAAGTGAGGCCGCCCCTCACATTTCGTGAATTTCGCATGTGCTCACTTGCCCTCCCACTTCTGTACCATGTTATGATGTGGTATGAAAGGCCCTTCCAGAAACTGCTGCCATACCCTTGAACTTCCCAGCCTCCAAAACCATGAGCCAAATAAACTTCCGGGTTTTGCTGGTGTTGTTTTTTTTTTTTTTTTTTTTAGAAAGAAAAAAGGAATGAAGGGGAGGAAGATAGAGGAAGAAAAAGAGGGAGAGAAAATGGGAATGTAGCTTTATTCTAAAAATGGATATTAATAATGGCTGATCAATATTTTGTGTATTTAAAATGGAGAGCTCTATAAATATTTATTGAGTTTACTTGTTTTGGATCTGAGTTCAAGTCCGGATATCTTTATTAATTTTCTGTCTCGTTGAGTCTAAATCTCTTTATGAGACTTATGTATCTGGGTGTTAGGATCATTAGCTCTTTTTTTTTTTGAGACGGAGTTTCACTCTCGTTACCCAGGCTGGAGTGCAATGGCTCGATCTCAGCTCACCGCAACCTCCACCTCCTGGGTTCAGGCAATTCTTTTGCCTCAGCCTCCTGAGTAGCTGGGATTACAGGCACACGCCACCATGCCCAGCTATTTTTTTGTATTTTTAGTAGAGACGGGGTTTCACCATCTTGACCAGGATGGTCTCGATCTCTTGACCTCGTGATCCACCCGCCTCGGCCTCCCAAAGTGCTGGGATTGCAGGCATGAGCCACCGCACCCAGCCCTGTTAGCTCTTATTGTTGCATTGATCCTCTTACCACTATATCTTTGTTGCTTTGAAATCTATTTTATCAGATGCAAGAATTGCAACTCCTGCTTTTTATTTATTTATTTATTTTTGCTCTCCATTTGGTTGGTAAATCTTTCTCCATCCCTTTGTTTTAAGTCTTTGTGTATCTTTGGATGTGAAATGGGTCTGGATGTAGCATACCATTGGGTTTGGGCTGTATCTAAGATTGGAGGATTTAGTTGACTTAAATATAGGGTTACCGCCATTTGATGTTAACTGGCTATTTTATCCATTCGTTGATGTAAATTCTTCTTTATGCTGATGCTCTTTACTTTTTGGTATATTTTTAGAAAGGCTCATACTGGTTGTTTCTTTCTATGTATAATGCTTCTTTCAGAAGCTCTTGTAAAGCCGGCCTGGTGGTAATAAAATCTCTGAGTACTTGCTTGTTCATAAAAGATTTTATTTTTCCTTCAGTGGTGAAGCTTAGTTTGGCAGGATATGAAATTCTGGGCTGAAAGTTCTGTTCTTTAAGGATGTTGAATATCAGCCCCTACTCTCTTCTGGCTTGTAGGGTTTCTGCTGAGAGATCTGCTGTAAGTCTAATAGGCTTCCCTTTGTGGGTAACCTGACCTTTCTCTCTGGCTGCCCTTAGTATTTTCTCCTTCGTTTCAACCCTGGTGAATCTGACGATTATGTGCCTTGGGGTTGCTCTTCTTGAGGAATATCTTTGTGGTGTTCTCTGTATTACCTGGGGTTGAATATTGTCCTGCTTTGATAGATTCAGAAAGTTTTCCTGAATAATATCCTGAAGAGTATTTTCCAGCTTGGATTCATTCTCTCTGTCGCATTCAGGTGCACCTATCAAATGTAAATTAGGTCTTTTCACATAGTCCCATATTTCTTGAAGACTTTGCTCATTCCTTTTTATCCTTTTTTCTCTATTCTTGTCTTCTGGTTTTATTTTATTAAGTAGTGCTGGTGTTGTTTATTAAGATGGAATCTTGCTCTGTTGCCCAGGCTGGAGTGTGCAGAGGTGCAATCTTGGCTCACTGAAACCTCTGCCTCACAGGTTCAAGCTATCCTCCCACCACCTCAGCCTCCTGAGTAGCTAGGATTACAGGCATGCACCACCATGCCTGACTAACCTTTTTGGTATTTTTAGTAGAGATGGGTTTTTACCATGTTGGCCAGGCTGGTCTCAAATTCCTGAACTCAAGTGATCTGCCCACTTCGGCCGCCCAAAGTGCTAGGATTACAGGCGTGAGCCACCACACCCAAACTTAAACTTCTGTTTTTTATAAATTAGTCTGTGGTGTTCTGTTATAGAAAAAAAAAAAAATGGACTAAGACACTCCCCTTCAGGGATCACATGGTGTGGGTGGTGCAGATCCTACTCCAACTCTAAGTGGTCATGTTGCCACCAGAATATTCCAGTCTCTAGGCCACAGTGATTGATTGTGGGCAGTGATGGGGAGAGGCTCATGATCCACGCTGGGCTGATGAGTGCCATCCCTAGCTCTTGGGAAGGAATAGCTGAAACAGCAGGCACCAAGAACCATGTGAGTCTCAAGCTGCCTGAAGCCACTGTGTGGAGAAAGCCAGGCCAATAATAAAATCAGCACAAAGAAAAGAATACCCAAGAGACAGAAACAGCAACAGCACTTTGACTAACACGTACAACCATGCCTGAAGCTGGACCTACATCTACACGTCAGTTTCTGTGAGCCAGTACATTCCTTTTCTTGCTAACGCCATCAAGGTTGGAGGGCTCACATAGTTATTTCTCCTAACTAACTGTAGGATTTTTGAGGGAAAGAGTGGGGTCTCACATTTTTTTCCTCAGTGCACTGACACTTAAGGGTGGGGATTTAAGAAGTGCTTGTGAATTAAATAAAACTAAAGAAATGGAAAAGACTAAGGCAAAGAACAGAGTGACAACAGGGATGAGAGTGGAGAGGGCAGCTGGGGAGTAGCAAGTGATTTTTGTGCCCCAAGTACGCATTTTTCATAAAAGTATTACAAAGTACATTTTGGAGTCCTGAATTCAAATTCTGATACTTACTGTCCTCATGTCCTTGGGTAAATTATGTAAGATTAATAAAAGGCCGTTTGATCATCTGTAAAACAGAAGTAACACCTACCTGAAAAGATTGTAGGAAGTTAAAAGATATGTCTGTGAAGGTGCTTGGTGTTCTTCATACCAATATTTGCCCATATTTTCTGAGTTCCTGCTGTATGTTAGGCATTGTGCAAGGGCATGGAATTAGGGTAAC